ATAATGTCTTGGGAATCGGAAGCAACTTTAACTTCGTTGAAATTATAGTTCTCAAGTCTATGACACACTGCTTTGGGGTAGCAGCGGCGGGGTCAGGAGAGCTAATAGACAGTGGTGGTGCTGCAGCAGCACTTCTCGACGATGGCCATTGCTCAGATCCTCAACTTCCAAATGGCAACGGCATGCGAGATTACTTGGAGCCCCTCCAATCCAATATAGCTTGTGGAACAAGAGGGATTCTACTATTCGAGAGTGTGGTATTTCATATTCCGAAAGCTACAATAAGCACGAGCATGATAAATTTTCAGGCTTTGGGGACATCCCAAGGCTCATCTTCAACATTGTCAAACCCCTCCTCCATCGTGAATTGTAGCTTGTCCATGTCCTCGGGGTTCATCTGGTAGTTCTTGATCAGTCGAAGCATCTCCGCAAGTGCTGCATCCCGGTCCGTACGACCTGCCAACTTCACATGATCCCGAATCTCATTGTGGACTTGAATTCTGTCTCGTGAACTGTTGTATGTGGCAAAGGCGAGCTTGATCAGGCGACGGGTAAGGCGCAGATGGGCGTTAACCACGAGGCCAAAGATGATTTGCATGATGATGGTGAAATCAACGATGTATGCCATTAGACGTTGTACGATAAGCTCCCTGGAAGTTTGTCGATTAGCATTTCACCGCATACGTAGGAACCTGAGAACGCACGAATGCTTATATACATCGTATCCCCACTTTGTGAGGACTACAGCTGCAGCAATAGGAATCACGATCGGAGCAGCGGGTCCGGATAAACCCCCAACGAGCGCAGTTAAAGCACCAAGTAGGGGGGAAGCCTTAAGACTGACTACTTGTGTGAGAAACAAGGTGATAATAATTAAAAAAGCAAACTCACATTGTCGTATTGGGATTCGTCAGCTCGTCATATTGCTCTCCCGCAAGTGTGGTCATTAATGCCTTGAACTCCTTGCTCTCAAGATACTGAGGGAAGATTCTCAGTATGCAAGCATGAGGGGGCATGATAATGACGTCTTTACCCCAAATTCATCCTGAATATTCCAAACTCGCACAATATCAGTGTGTAAAACTCGAAGGCATGCGTCTATAGTTTTCCCCGGGAAGTTCACGCTGGAAGCAAGGCCCCTCCAATATCCTAAATAGAAGTTAAGTCCCAGTTTAGTGACACAGCGGAAATTTCATACGCTTCTTGCCAACTCTTTGACCAGAAGATGTCAGCAGGACGTTCAGAAGACAAACGTCTGTATGCTCACGCAATCACCGCATCGATCTTCAGAGCTGGATTCACGCGTTGGGCAACAGCAGAGAGCACTGCGACTTCTTCCGCAACGTCAACCGCGAGGCATTCTTTTACGTATTTTGCGGTGAGTGCAGTAAGGTCCTTCAATGTCTTTATGTATTCTTTCTTCGCTGCAATTGCGAATGTGAACACAAATCTAGAGAGAAAAATCGGTCAAGAACTTACTTGAGACAGAAATGTAGGGGACGTCTGGGCCGACCACCGCCCTGAAGGGGCAGACACAAAGTGTTTCGAACCTGCCGTTTGTCTCTTTGACCAGAAGTGCATTGCCCGCGTCCGGATCCAGGTTTTTCGTGCGGCGAATGAACTCACTGTTGTTACCAAATTTGACCTGCGTTACCAGCCGATCATACTTCGTAAAGACGGTGATCACAGGAACTAGATCAAGCGGTGAGTGATTGTCGACCAAAAACGCCAAAAAAACCTACCAGGGCCAAGTTCACCTTTGGACTTCATATGGAACAACTCCTCAACCCCAGCCTCGAACAAACGATCGCCTTCAGACAAGGATACTTGGAAACAAAGCCTGCGCAACACCTTGATCACCCCTATACAAAGTGATCGAGAAGCGGTAAACATACCAGACAGCATGTACCTGATCCCTCACATTGGGCATGTCCTTCCGAGCTTTGAGAAAGTCGACGACTTTCCTGAAGTTTTCACCCTCCCCATGTTCGAAGCCCTGACTGTCGTGCAGAACAAATCTTCCGTTTTCGCTGGCTATAATCGCAGTATTGATATTTGACACGCCAGCTTCTGAATGAGCCACGTTCTGGGGAAAGACAAGCTTTAGGAGCGGAGTTTGAGAAGAAGGGGAAGTGACCTCACAGCTTCCGTGACACCGAAGCATTCATTGATAAGGGAAGATTTCCCTACACCACTCTGCAACAACAAAACTATAAGCTAGTGGATGAGGGAAGAGATGTGAGAGAACTACGTTGCCGATGACCAAGACTCGGAACCTGGCGGCACGGTAAGCCACAACAGTTTGGGATTGAGCAGACTGACCGTTCGACCAACTTGAATAACGTATCCGTTGTGGGTTGCAGGTCGCCACTCGTCGAAGATTCCGCCTCGGTTGAAAGATTCTAAGATGGATCGCACCCACATTAGGCGGATGCTTTTGAATTCGAGAAAGAAGTGCACACACCCCCTGGCCTGCGTATTGGCTAAACTTGACTCCAAGGACTACATCGAACTTGTCGAATGATTTCGACCATTCTTTAGAGTAGAAAGTTCTGCATCAACAAGACAGGAGGATTGCAAAAGGGAGGCACTCGCCTTGTTTTCCAGAGGAATGGGGGTCCACGTTGCTTAGCAATTCATCAAAATGTATCTTGTTCTTCGACATAACACGAAACAAATCACGGAATCGGACTCGAAGACAAAGTGGCTCTAAAGATGAAAGTTGACTGCTTGGATTGAATTTGTCGTCCAATGCTACGCATGATCGCCTCACCAGGGGGATGACAACTCATATGTGTGGGTCGTTCTCTCCAGGCGACAGTATGATTCCCGCTTGAACGATCCGATTGAAAGCTCGACCGATTTAAGAACGCTTCGCGATGTAACGCGGATTTCTAGCATGTGGAAATTAGATGTTCGGCTTCAGCAGTGGCAAAACTTTGGGAGGACTTGCCGAAAATCTCGATGCTGGGGGAGCTTCCACTCCCGGAGGAAGACATGGTGGTTATCAGTGAAAGCGGAGAGATTAGCGCTCAGAACGTGTGGTAGCGTTTCAAATGGCAGGTCTGGGAACATGTTAAGTGCCATGGCCTAGCCTCATTCAAATTGCCAGCCGGATCAGATTGAACTTGATGGGGAGTGAGGCGCTCAACGTCGGCACCACTGAGTGAGTCTACATAAAGTTTTGTTAAATCTCCAGAGTGAACTTCGATTTCTGAATCTCACACGTTGACATCGCCAGCGAAAGCCATCACTTGGGGGAGAACTAGCGAAGCGGCATCGTCTATTGGTCGTCCACCTGCCAGGACTTCACCGCAACTTCACCGACATGTTAAGTGCCATACGTACTTGAACAAGCCAGGGTCAGCATGAATGGTTGCATTATTTAAACAACAAATCACCTTTGATAGTGTCGTGATTGAGCTGGCAGTGAGTTCGGCGAGTAATTGTTGTGGTCGAGTTCAACACGCATAATGATGATCAAAGTCACTTGTCTCTTGCCACCAACAATCACAACCACGGGTGTCTCGTTCTTCGTCGTTGAACAAATCTCCAGCAATCTCCTGACAATATTTGAAAGGCCCAGCTCTGGTTTGGCTCTGATTTCCGTGGAAAGAACTTTTTCCGTGTCCATGTATGTCGTTTCCTATCAGCGTTCCTTCAGCTTTCATGTGAATCGTTTTTAGATTATATTTTACCCACAACCTCGAGGATGGACCACGAAAATTGATTAAAAATACTTGATGTTCCTCTCAGTCGTCTTCCTGCTCTCCTTGTCAAGTTATGAGGCAATTCAAACGTCGAAGGGCGAACTGTGTTCTCACTTGATCATTCGCGTTACGTGGCGGCCAAAAAATCAACTTTCATGAGCGGGGGAGAGCTGGGCCAGCTGGTTGGGAAGGCGAGGTACTTGCTCAGTCGTCCTCGAACACTCGTTGTGGACTTACCAGCACACTTCACTCAGCGCTCATGGGCGATGCCAACTACCAGCATGGCTTGATAATTCAGCTCTCATCGAAAGTCTTACGACTGCTATGTACGACATTATCAAGCTAAAAGTCACGGATGATATCGCACAACTTGGACTTGCCGTTTGCCCTTCACAAGCCCTGGGCAACGTTAATTTGTTCAAGTAGGCAAGAGTGGGCTTTGTGATGGTCTGAAGCTCGTAGCGGTCGGACTGGAGCCCCTTGACAGTTAGCGCTCATCATCCAAGGTACTTCTTTGAGTTATCTCACACTATTCGGCAGTGACTAATCGTTAAGTCATGGTGGGCTTCATACTTATGCTCGAGTCGTTTCGCACTGAAACCGCTGTATAGGAAATGGTCTAGCGGGGGAAGGCTTCAAGTACCGGGCCGCCGCCATGGCACACAAATTTCAAAAGAAATATGTTTATCTGGGTGAACATACCCCATCGCTTGATGTACAACATCTGCAACGGGCTTTACGATCCTTCGTTTTGGCTGTGGTAACAAACAACATGTGGACAAGTGGAAGTTTTTGCGGCTTTATCTCAACACAAAACCGTTTCACCGTATGTGGTCGCTGTTATGAGGCAAAATGATGCGGGGGGGCTTTTCGGAGCCCTGCTACACGACCATCACCTTGCAAGGTTTCTTTGGCCCACGAAAACCGACCGAACCCCCGTCGTGAAGAGAGCCACATTGATCTTGAAGCTGTGGCTCCTGTGACGTGTGACCTGCACAAGCTCATGTGACATGTGACAGGCATGGTCTGCTCTACGTTTTCACCTAACTCGACGCTCGACGTGCAATTCTTGCATCCCCAAGCCAAATAAGGTAAGCTGTATAAAAAAACGTGGAATCTCATGGAAGTGCTGTAATGATATCGTTTCTTTTACCAGCCGGAGGAGGGATCCCGTTTATGAATGTCCCCGAAGTTACGACTAAAATTATATCATGGCTGCAAGAAAAGTCTGATTCGCAACGATGCTGGGTAATCTACTATCTGGTAGGCATACATAATACTATGATGATAAATTAACTGCCCAAAACCGTCTGTAGTACCTTACTTTGGTGTCCAAAGAGTCGGTTGCGAAAGCTCTACCTCGAGCCTTTCTGCCTTGAGCATCTCCCCAGAAATCTTGCCTCGACAAGCCGAACCCGCCATCACCCAAGGCATCTTCGTAGTCCCATGTTGGCTCCCCTGCACCCTTCATGTTCTTCAAAATGCATTGGAAAAAGTGATTCTTGCATAGAAGATCAAGTGGTCATATGTGCGGATTCGAGATATGATTGAGGTCTAGGAATGAACCGTGGATATCGCCCAAGCCATGGACGAATGCGGTGATTCGGTAGGCGTCTTAGCATTCCCAAGTTCCCTGTGAAGTGAAGACCTCGAGAAGACGTACGTCGGGGTTGACACCAAACTTGTAGTCGTCCCAGCTTTCGTGGAGGTCTGCGCGGAGGAGGAAGACGTTTTGATTTGAGTCGATTTTTGATTCGTCGGTAGGTCCGGCGAGCTGTTCAACTTGAGCTTGAAGGGAGGGTGCGCCGCCGGGGTCGTTGATGTGCTCGTAGAATCTTTTATGAAGCCACTTTTGGTTTCAGAGCGGTTGAGTAGGGGATCGGTAGGGGAAGGAGGGTATTTCAAACTGCTTACATCGGAAAGATGAGTATTGTGGGCTACGCGTGATAGGGTCCAGGTGTATGATTCAAGACCCTGTTATTAGACATTTTCTGTCACGATCTCGCGTACGTTCGCGGTATTCATTCGTGGGTCTCTATGAAGTCTTCGTTGAGTCTCATTGACGATGAATAGGATCGAGAACTCCCCTTCCGGGGTGTTCGAAACCGTCAACGCCCGCCGTCGGTACATTTCCTGTGTCAGGCCTACAAATCTGAACCTCCATCTCGAAGAAAAGGTGAGTCCATGATCTACAATAGCGCCAATAAGTAATAATAGCCACCTTCTTTCAAGATCATCTATCCGACCAGACTTCACTAGTTCCAGTCTTTTTCGGTCCATGACGGCCGGGCATTATTTCGTCCAGTTTATGTAAATATCGCCCACGAACCGTCCGTTTGGGCGTAGCCATGGGTAGAAGGGAGTCCATGAGACCGTAGCGTCTTCGTACTGCCAGAAGTCTGAAACCGGGTGAAGCTGCTTGGAAGCTGCAGGCTGTTGGCCACTGGAAGGTCCGATCTGACACTACATTCCCGTCGTAGTTTTCGAGGGTCACATACGCTGGGACGTCAGAGGAAATTTTGGTTGAGAGTGTTCAAGGAGTTTTGCAAGTGAGAGTCTTGAAGTTCGAGGAGCGGAAAGAAGTGTTTGGTTTTGGTGGATGGGACAGAGGATTTATCGTAGCTGATAGAACTCGGAGTTGGAAGAGAGGAAACTGAGTGAATTCGATCTGGTATCTGGGTCCACGCCGATGCCTTTTACCAAACAACCAACTCAATGGCATTTTTTTCGAAGCCAGATCTCAGAGGCAACCTTTTCGTTCGGTGCCGCGACGACTCATGCACCATACATCATGGCGGAACTGGCATATCATGACTGCTCAGACTCACTGCTCCCCATCCACGACACAACAGAAACCATCCTCGTCCTCCCTTTACGAGAGTTTATTCTATTCATCTTTTACAAAGACAGCGAAGAATCACCCCGGGATTCGAGTATGTCTAGGTAAGTATGTTTCTTCTAAAGTTTTATGTATACTCGAGCCGACCTAAAGTTTTCACAGAACAACCATACCATGCGTCTTCACACACTAACATCGAATTCGGTCGGAGAAAAAGTCCGAAACCACATCTTCAACACCGTAAACGACCACTGGGGAATCAGCCAATTCTCCAAAACCAACCTCCCCCTCCCCATCTCCCACATCCACTTCATCGCCCACCCAAACGAGGACAACTCTGGTAGCGACGGGCAACAACCCACCAACCACTGGACCATGTACCTCGAAACATCACCAACTTCCTCGGTCCACATTGACGTCGCTCCAGACGATAACGATGTTGCGATGGTCATGCTTGACACGGAACAGGTCAATTATGACGCCTACAACGTCTTTCACAAATCGCTTCCTGTGATTGGTGAGAGCTGTAGTGTGGCGACGGTTCTAGATGTCTTGATTACAAAGAAAAGGGACGTGTATAGGTTCGCTCCGGTGGGTGAAGGATGTCGATACTGGCTCTCCATCTTTGTACTGGATCTGGTGGATGCTGGATTGGTGAACAGGGGAGACGCTCAAGACGCCATTGATGGGCTTGGGATGTATTGGTCTTTTCCTCCTGGCACTGGCTCATTTGCAAGAGAGATTGCACGGGGTTCTATCTAGTAGTTTTTTTCTGGTGATGGATGTACTTCAAAAGCTCGCAACGAGGAACCTAAATTTCGAACGTGTGCGCGTATGCATATGACAGAAATCAAAGTAGACGCACCATCATATTAAAGTCGAAGATACGTGATCCCAAACATCTTCCGGTTCAACGCCTGCAACCGAGCCTGATCCTCCGTATGACATGCATTAGCGAAAAGCCCAATGACCGGCAATTCTCGGCCGATAACCACCTCGACCCAACCATATCCGCCACTCTCCCATCCTGGGCAGAAATGCATCCCCATAGCTTTATGGTGCTGAGATTCGGACAGAGCATCTCAGTAATGGTCTCCTCCGCCGGCACTATGCAGAACCTTTTCTGCGAAGGTGGTATACGTCTCAACACCTCCTCCGTCACGCATAAATGCCTTTGATGAGGACAGCGAATCTAACGATGTTGATATCTGCGGGTGTGCAAGGCACTCCAGCATCTCCTCCGCGGAGATATCGCACTCTTGTATGATGAGGTGTTTGACGGTGCACACAGAACGAAGGAGGAATGCAAGGAACTGGGATTGCGGCCAGTGGCTGATGTACACGGGGGTAATGTTGGGAAAGGACCAGTGGACTTCAGAGAGCGAAAGATCATTCAGAGCTGGTAGCGTAAGCTTGTCAAAGAGAATTCCGAGGTCACCCGCCGTGCTTAGATGGAGGCGTTGTAGATTGTTGTGAACAATTGGGCCAGAGCCGCTTGTCATAGTTACTTGGACGGGAAGAATGAGCGTTAGCTCTAGAGATGTGAGCTGAGGGCAGAATGTGATGATGCGGAGACCCTCAGTCATCGAAATGATGTGGCTCAGCCAAAAGTGCGTGAGCTGTGCCCAGGGAAAGGTGAGCGTCGTGAACGGTTTCTGGCTCAGCCAACTGACGGAATGAATTCGTGGTGCGGAGAGCATCGTGGATGTGATGCGATCCACGTCGTCCTGTTCCAGCCAGTAACTTTTCTCCAAGTATAGTTCGAGCAAGGGAAACGAGGTGTCCTTGGGCAGTGAAGCGAACCCGGTTTTCTCGGACCATGCGTCTTTGTATCGTATACGGACTTTCTGCCATCGGGAGTGATGGGGGATGAAGACCTCGAACATGGACGAAACGACTGAATCGGTGGGATCCTCGGATTCTGGTTCGGCGGTAAGTATGGTGGGAAGAATGTAGTCAATCCCAGCGCGACTGCTGCGGAGGAATGGATCTCGCTCTTCGGTGGGGATGGTCCAACTGGCTGCCGCCGGCCAATGGCTTGTAGGGAAAATCATTTAGTTCAATGATTTCCATGACAAGGACCTTCTAACCAATTGGTTGCCTGGGTATATCTGCCTTCCCTGATCTGTTAAATTAAGATTTCCATCAGCACTGTATCGTTGTAGCGTTTGGAAGGTCATACAGATATTGACGACGAGTCCATTATGGTCTCCTGCAGCATTGTTGAACTCTCCCCCGGATATCGTTGTCGATTGAGACTGACATAAAAGAGATGGGGAGCTGGCCGCGCTGTTACAGCTTGGGGGATGGTTTAGTCAAGCATTAAGTTTTGCTCACCTCGAGGGCCCGCTAACATTTGCCATAACTCCAATGATCAACAATACCCACTGAGTCTGACTGAGATTTCAACTCGGTGTTGATAGGCAGATGGAAAGTTGAAGCACAGGATACATAGGTGCTGAACAGCATTCATGATGGTGCATGACGGAGATTAAGATGCATACTATGACCGTGACCATGTAATTACGAGTTGAAGTTGCCGTTCAAATTCAAAGGACTTCCTTTTGTTCAATGCCTTTTTAATGCTTGTCTACTAAGTATACAGCGCAGACACATATATACCATCGCACTCGACAAGATCCATGAACAGGAACTCTTGTATTCGCCACAAGCTGTCCAAGCTCAGGCGTTGGTCAGTGTCAATCAGGGCGACTGCATCTTGGCATGTATAGATAACAAAAATTGACCCCACCATCACAGTCGAACATGTGTGATCCCTGACCTGTCTAAGTTCAGCGCCTCCAACCGAGTCCAATCCTCCGTATGACATGCCTCAGCGAAGAACCCTATTTTGCCGCCGTCCTGAGTTGCACGATGGGGCAACCTTCGGTCCTGGATAACCATCTCGACTCTACCATATCTGCGACCTTTCCATCCTGGGCAGAAATGCATCCCCACAGCCTGATGGTCGTGAGATTTGGACAGATAGTCTCCGATGGGGTGTCGTCGGCCAGCTGGTCATCCCCACCACCCAGAACGTTTTCTGACAAGATAACTGATGGGGAATACGTCAACAGCCTAAGAACCTCATCCGTCATGCATAGATGCTTCTGGTGATATTCCGTGATAGACAACGAATCCAATGACTTCGATATCTGCGGATGTCCGAGGCACTCCGCTATCTCTTCTGCTGAGATATCCCACTCCTGAATGATGAATTGCTTGATGGTGCAACCTGAACGTAGAAGGAATGCAAGGAACTGGGATTGTGGCCACCGGCCAAGCTGTATAGGGGGGTTGGGTGAGGCTCCATGTAATTCGGAAAGCGATAGATCCTTTAAAGCTGGTAGAGTGACTTTGTCGATAAGAACTGCCAGGTTACCTGCAGTACGTAGATGTAGGCGTTCTAAAGTGTTGTGGACAAATGGATCGTCGTCGTCGACGACGGGAAACATGGGAAGAAAGAGCGTCAGCTCCAGGGATTTGAGATGAGGACAGATCGCGAGGACACGAAGACCCTCGTTCATAGTGGCAATGGGGCCCTGCGAATTGAAGTGTGTCAGCTGCTTCCATGGAAGGGCGAGCATTTTGTATGATTTTTCGCTCAGCCAAGTAACGGAATGGAGTCGTGGTGCGGAGACCATCATGGATTTGATGTGTTCTAGATCTTCTTGTGCCCACCAATAACCTTTGTCCAAGCATACCTCTTCAAGAAAAGGATACGTGACGGTGTTCATGGGGATTGGCAAGCAAGCGATCCCAAGTAAATCAGGTGATGCATCATTGTATCTCAGGCAGACTCTCTGCCATCGAGAGTGATGGGGAATGAAGAGATCGAGCATGGGCGCAACTGGTGATCCAGCGGGGTGCTCAGAGTTCGTATTGTCGTGTGGCATGGTGGGCGGAATCTGATCAACTCCTGCATGGCTGCTGTGAAAAGATGAATCTCTCTCTTCAATAGAGAAAGAAAGCGCGGAGGAGCCAGAGCGCTCAATCCACATTTCAACGGTCCGTTTGTCAGGGTAAAACACCCCATCCCGTATCTCGACCAGTATCGAGGACCATAATTCGGGCATACCGAGTGCAATATTCTTCCAGGAAACACAAACGCCGGTCAGAACATTTTGAGAGACATGAGTTGGGGATCGAAGAAAATGCCTGTCAGAGGCCCAGAGGAGGAATAGGATACGAATGATCTCTGGGGGAACCTTGCGTATGGGCGACACTTGGTCACGATGGAGATCCAGCTGCTCTGAGATGGTTTTACGTTGCTCCAAGAGCCATTGCAGATGCAGTTGGCCTTCCTCGATTTCACGTTTGATTTCGTCACAAGTTTTGCTACGGTTTCTGCAGAGGATGTGACGGTATCACCTGCGAGCGCTTGAGCAGTGTTGCTATTGAGTCCGTTGGAATGAAAAGCGAGACAGAAGGTTAGTAGTGTCATCAGTTGTTCACGACCGTCCTCAGAAGGGGTGTTGAGGTGGAGATCGCCTCGAGAAGCGTCCGCGGAAAATAACAAAGGGTGATTTGGGTATCCGAAGTGAGTACAAGGTGTGTCCTATGACTTCCGCCATGCTGTCGGAGACCAGTGCTTAGGAAGGGCATCGCATGATGGTTGGAAGTTCTACAAAGTCCACAATTGTGCCAGCGCACGCCAAGGTCTTTCGGTTGCGAACGTACTTTGGCCAGGCTACGTTGCGGCTAGTTGATAATCTAGATACAACTTACGTTAGAGGTGAGAGAAAATGGGAATATTAGAAAGCGTACTTACGGAGAGGAGCGGGTCACATTTGAAGGAAGTAGTGTCGAGCTGCGGAGCCATGTGTGCTCCTCCTCCGGTCTCCACAACCTACGGCATGCATTAACTTTGTGAAAGATGAGATATGACTCGTGATTGCATGTTAGGAATTTGTGCGGCGCCACCCCTAGATATGAAATCGAAGCCCCCAGTTGCGGACATGCTTCTGGATTGAAAGAAGAAGGTGAAATTGTGACTTGAATGGAAACAAACGCTATGTAGGCATAACGAATAGTCAGTAGATAGAATTTTGACGTGTCGCCCCAGCTCACCTGGAGGACAATAATCCCAAGTTGTCATGAAGATGCGCGTCGACGTAGTTCATGCCCGCGAATGTCGTTGCAGTGCTACCAGTTGATGTTCCAGGTGCCAGCACTCGTTCTGGCCAAAATGATCAGAAGCTTTCCTTAACATGTTGATCAGAAGTTTAACCCAATACGCACCACCAACCCAAGGAAAAAGAGCGTACGTGTTGGGTCGTGTTGGGTGAAAATCCAGGAAGGAGCCAAGACCTAGTATAATAGGTTAGCACATACACAACAAAGCCAGTAACGAGGCTTACTTTCAAAGCAAACCGGTAGAACGTATTGTGAGGTCGCCCCGTTCCCGTTCCTTCGAGGCATTGAAATCTAACCACTAGGTGTGTTTCTGGAACGTGACACGACGAACTTCCACGGCGCAGTACGGAGAATGTGCTTCGCGACAAGATCAGTCGTGTTGGCGTTGGCATTTCTCGAAAGGCAAGCGTCGATTGTAGATGACGAAGCTCATGCCGACCTTTCCCTGAGGGATTCTGCAAAACGTACAGTTAGTACTTGCGAATGTTCGTCATAAAAATCAATCTAATGAGTTGGTTGGAGGAAACCCGAAGAAGGCCTCACGGGAATAGGTAGTCAATTTGAGTGTAGCTCAAGATTTGCGTAGTCAATGATCACGGCGTCGCTTGGGTTTCTAACGAGCCAAAACCGAGCTTCGTCAAACATCGCAACCTCTCCCAGACCTCTCCGATTGAACCTAAGCTGTTGAAGTTTAACATGAGTGGCCACCTACTGAGAGAATATCGTTGAAAAGCGTACTGGGATGGAATGAATAAAACGAAATTTCCCTCTCAGTGGGATGTACCAGGTGAAACATTGCTGACTCATGATGCATGATCAACGCCTTCATCGGCGAGCATGCGCAATACCGTCGTCTTGCTGAAATTCCACGTTCACGGCGAAGAAGGCAACGTTTGGACCTATGGCGGTAGTGAACAGGTGAATGTAGACAACTCAATCAACAAACATACGGCAAACATTACGACTGATTCCTCCTTATCATCCACTCCTCGTCTAACGTGGCCTTGAGTTGCACCACAAACACTGCAGAAAACTTTGTGACAAAGGTACGTCTCTCGAATTTTGAACTTCCTTCTCACAATGTAAAACTGCCACCCTCTGAAGTGCGTGATGATCAAAGGCCTCTTCACCGGCCACCACTCTGGAAACACCCAAAAGTGTTCGTACACAACCACTACGTCGGTGTAAACCAGAACTCGTTGAAGCACCATGCGGCACACCCCCGCCATAATCGCGAGGCTTCGACCCTCCTTCCCACTCCCTCGACCCTCCAGCTTCAGATCCTAATCCCACCATCCGAGTTCACATGGCCAACCTCACCAGCATCCCTGCGTGCAGACAACCTCCTGCATGATGTCGAAGCAGGGGCGGTTGAAACCTCACTGAAATCTCGACAGGGGTGTTTCAATTTGATTCCCATATTATGACTGGCACTCGGCCCTTCCTCAGCAAAGTAATCCTCCAACTTTTTCCTCTGGTTTTCCTTCCGCCTCAATCCCCCATTCCATTTCGAATCCCGCGTCTTCCACCTCAATTGCCTCATCCAAACTTCCATGTACGCCTTGATCAACACAAACTCTGCCTCGTCATTTCCGCGTGATCGCTACGCAAAGTTCTTCCTCCACTACTAGAATCAACGTGTTCGATGATGGGTGGGCGCAGCGCGCGGCTGAGTTGTGGGCCTGAATGACGTGAAAGGTAGTTGAGATACAAAAAGGTTGGACTTGGGATACAACCTCGATTCCACGCAATACGCACATAATCTCTCGGAATCGGGAATCATCGTTTGTTGTACCTCTCAAGCCCAATCTCAGACGGCGGATGCGAACGAGAGGGAGGGATGTTTACGCGGAGCATGTTCATCCATTAAACCGTTGCAGGAGTGTATCGTGCATGGTAGGGGTGTTGCTCCTTCTTTGGACTCTTGGATGTCGACTTCATCTTCGTGCCATTCACTCCTGCTACCGTGGCGTGGCCTTGTCGAGTCCATCTTCGACCCCACTTCGTCGAGTTCAATTTTGGATTATTCTGAAAAACTGAAACCAGGATGGCCGACTACGCCCACAAATCAGCCAACACCGGCTCCATCTACCTCTCCGCCATCTCTGAATCCGACCTCTACTGCCGCTACGTCCCAGGCCTCGTCGGCGATCGCCTCTTTCGCATCTTCTCAGCCTCAATAAGGAAGGCCACTGGCTAAGCTCATACCTCTTACTCTCAAACTCCATGGGCCTCCATGACTTTCGTGAATATGTCGATCAGCAACGGTATTTCTGACCCCGAGAGATTTGTGGGAAAGAGGAGGATGGGTTTAAAGAGATAAAAGACCTTTATGAGCCTGCGGCTTTGTAGACAGCGACGTCGGTGCGAAGTGGGCCTCCAGTGTGTGGAGATTTCGATCTTGCGCCCTTCACGGTGAGTTTTTTTCCTTCGCTTCGCGCCTTTTCTGAAGCTGACCGTTCTTGCCGTCCAGAACATCGTGGCGTTCACCGCCATCTGACTTCTTGACCACTGGGCGAGACATATCTTTTCCTCAGTTAAGTTGGCCCTCGGTTCAAATGGCAAGTGTGAAAGTGGTGTCCTGTAAGGTCTTACGGTTTTACGGAAACTTCTTGATCTAGTTATGAATCGAAAAGTGAAGTTGCGCGTCATCGAGGCGGCCAGCAATGCACTCTTCGGTGTCATCTTCTCCAGAGTGACGATGTTTGTGGGCCCAGCCTCAGGTTCAAAACCGAGCACCCTTTCCTGTATTCCAAGACACATTGGGTATAGTAGGTTTCTGCCCAGTGTGGAATCGATACTATACGCGAAGGAAGCAGGCTTTCCCTTCCCATAAGCCGTGGCTGCAACTTGTTACGTGTTAGGCACTGCCAGCCTGGCGCTCATACAAACTAGCATCTTTACTCTGTACGCACTGCTTGTGAGTTCTTCTCGAGCTTTTTACCTCGTACGAAGCTAATCATTTTAGATATAAACTCTCAGTCTCACACACTCTCTGATAATCAGTCGCGACAAAATTTCACCCCAGAAGGGATGTACAACTCGACGCCCATGATCGGCTCAGATTGCGGAATCGTCGTATGTAGGGGCCTACGCCCTTTTGAAGTGTTTCACCAAGATGACGTGTCCAATAAGAGGGGGCAAACTCGTTCATCTCATTGCCGTCATAGATCATACTTTTACAAGCAGGACATCGATGTTTCAAGTCGAGGTGGGTCTGTTATATCCGTTCTCACTTGTCTGTATGCTTACCAACAACAGACTCAAGATTACCATGACGGTCACGACGCCCAATGGTCCGGACAGTTCAACGTGCTGAGATGGTAAGCCCTCATCGACGGGAGGTCTTCATATCTGGTTTATCAATCAGTTACCTTTCAGGCTGCCAGGAAAGCGCTACTCACGGTTCAAGACGGACTGACCGACCCAATTTTAACCAAGGGTTTCTCACCGCCGGCTTCAAATCCAGTGGCCAGAGCTACGTAGACGTGCGGTGCTGCTTAGCGCGGAACGGAAGAAGCTGGTCTGTGCGGTTAGGTGGGTCGAGTGTGATGTACGAACTGTGTATACTTATCTTGGCTTTCCTATTAGGGCAACGGGAAACGACAGAATGGAAGGTCGATTTCAATGCAACCACCCCACCAGCTATAAACCCTTGTTCGAGACTGGTTGGAAGAACTGCACCAGCCATGACGTCGTCAAACTGGAACCACAAAACCTTCGCATTCAGGACTTGAATTGGATTGAAGAGTCGGAATCGCGGTGGTACGTTGTCTACTACGCCTATGACGCATTTCCCTAAATCCTTCCTGCACAGATCGGCCCTACAATCCCTGCCACTCGACAGGAAGGTCATGTGTAATTACGGACAACCTTTTCCGCTCAAATTCAAATTGCAAGGTCATTGTGAATGGTACTCATTCTCGTTTGTGACTAAGTATCTTTGTCGTAACTAATGTAATTACTGAATCCTATTGTAGATCGCAGGCAGAGGACGACCCGATTGGATACAGCTTTCAGTCTTCCGACAAACATCACCACTTCGACTCCTTGAACCCCAGGAATAGCAGTCACCAGCTCTGTCCAAATTGACGTCCGTTTCGAGTTTGGATCGCAGGGGTATTCCCAGTGCGGCGTCCCAGAGACAGGCGCTTCGAACGTGTGGAAATTGAGTTATGAAGCAAAGTGTCATTTGCTGCTCGCCGTCGCTCTTCAGCGTTGCAAACGCTCTTTGGCTGTGGATACACTGAATGCTTGAAACGAGCCAGGGCAAAGTCGTTAATCGTACACTAACAAAGTCTCGTTGAGGGCTTGCCCGCCCAAGTGGTAGCAACCCCATCTAAGAGGAACTGGGGAAAAAGGTAAGCATACATCCAGTTCTTGGGGTTGTGCGGCGTAGTTCTGATATTTCTCTGTGGCTAGCTTGCTGTTGGACGATAGAACGACGCGCTACCCCTGACGGCAATGAAGAAAAGGGCGAACATAGTTTGATAGGGACAGCGTGAGTTGTGTCATTCGATGCGGATCCACATTGCTTACAGGCTTTCATGTAGCCTTCTTTCCTGATGGTGGGGAGCATACTCAAGATCAAAGGTACGCCTTCAAGCCACCAGTGGAGTGGAAACCTACACGGACGTCGCGGTTCACGGACAAATGCGTAGGGGGTGTGAGAAGGGAACATGGGGGAGAACAGTGATCTTGGCTGAGACGGGGACTTCATTGGCAAAATGGGATGGCACATCACGATGGAATTGTAGCTGATGATCGTACCAAGTAGGATTTAGTCTCATACTGCTCATGTTACAGCCACTTCTTCAACCTTCCGGGTCTTCAGTCACCGTAGTTTAAGTCCTCTAGTACGTGGTCAATGAAGGAAAATGACGTCCTAGACAGAAGCCCGCTGCCGAGGAGACTTGTCTATACTAAGTGGCGAACTCATGCCACTGGTAGAGCTCGAATGGCGACTCGAAGGGGCATTCACCTGGACTGTAACAAAACTTCAGGGTAAGTTAACCTTGAGTACTTGAGATTTGTACTCACCCTCTCCCTCGCACTCCCTCGCCGCTTGGTTGATGTTCAAATCTGGCAACAAACTTGCGCGCTTTCACGATCGTCGTGGGCAGATTGAAAAGCTCAGTTGGGGAGCCAATGACGTGTGTATATATTGGAAATTGAGTCAAGGGAATCAAGTTGTACGAACGGAAGAACTTGGGAAGAACGAGAAGCGAGTCAGTGACGTCACTCGAGTGGCTGACCCAGCATAACCAAACAATACACTGCGTGGCGCTTATCTTGGTTCTTCACCACTTCCACCATCTCAGGCATCCCAGCGACAAATGTCTCTTTCCAATGTTGAATCCCAGGCCGCAGAGGATATAGAAAGACAACAGAGACGAGCACGCAGAGTTCGAAACCTCACCAACCGCTTTCGCGTCCTCATCATTGGCCGCGCCAACGCGGGGAAGACAACCATCCTCCAACGAGTTTGCAATACAACGGAACAGCCGAAATTTTTCAATCCGGAGGGTCATGAGGTATTCCATGCTCTAGACATCATCATCTATCATTATTGATGTGAAAAAGATTGACTTGTCTGAGCTCAATCCAACTGCACAGGTAATGTGGATCTGCACTCCCTATTACATTTTACTGAAAGTGTGGCAGAGAGGGGAGCACGATATTGAGAATGAAATGATATTTGAGAGCAATACAGCATTTGTCTTTCATGACTCAAGTGGCTTTGAAGCAGGCAGAACATCTGAGCTGGATAAAGTCAAGGAGTTTCTGCAAAAACGTACAACCAACAAAGAGCTCAAGGATCATCTGCATGTGATTTGGTGAGTGACTGAGTTGTGACATCAAAGTGCATCTGAATACACCCTGTGTAGGTACTGCATCCCAATTAATGATGAAGCCAGACCATTTACAAGAGCAGAGTTAACTTTCTTTGATGAGTGTGGGACTGGTAGAGGTGTGTAAACTATTGATAATCTCATGAATTTCACCTTTCCTTTTTGTGCACAGTTCCTGTTATTGTCCTGTTTACAAAAGCAGATATGCTTGATGCTCAAACCATCAAACACCTGGTTGATACTGGAATGGATGTTGAAGATGCTGCAAATAAAGCTCCAGAAGAGTCAGTTGCCAGGTTTGAAGAGAAATTTGGCAAGCAACTCTTCAAGAGAAAGTATCCTCCCAAGGATCATGTGTATTTTCGAGGTATAACAAACTCATTTACTCATTGACAATAGATTAATTGCATTTGACAGATATGCAAAATCCCACAAGTGACTGCAGTGAACTGCTGAGGAAGACAGCAGCCACCTTTTCAGATGATACACTCTTACAGCTGTTTCTTACAGTGCAGCAAAATAATGTGGCTCTGTCAATTGAATATACAATTAAAAGGTAGTTGCTTCATTTTGAATTATATGCTGGTAAATTGCTGATTATCTAGAATAACAGATTTGTCTTTCCAGGTTGGAAGTTATTCAAAGAAAAGAGAGAGTGGAGGAAGATGGTTGAGAAGATACTGAATTATTTTCCACATATGGTATGTGGACCTTACTTGACTGTACAGTGGTAGAACAAAATAATATATATGAACAGGCGGTAAGCCAACATCCAGTGGACCTCAAGTAGATGCTAATGGGATCATGCTTTTGTTATAACAGTGGGTGAGTCAGGATCTAGCTGGCCTTTCCTGCTTGTTGCTGACAAGAGCATGCTCTGTGTTTTGAACAGTCTGTAAGTCAGGAACTGGCTGGCCCTTCCTGCTTGTTGCTGACAAGAGCATGCTCTGTGTTTTGAACAGTCTGTAAGTCAGGAACTGGCTGGCCCTTCCTGCTTGTTGCTGACAAGAGCATGCTCTGGGTTTTGAACAGTCTGTAAGTCAGGATCTGGCTGGCCCTTCCTGCTTGTTGCTGACAAGAGCATGCTCTGGGTTTTGAACAGGATGTAAGTCAGGATCTGGCTGGCCCTTCCTGCTTGTTGCTGACAAGAGCATGCTCTGGGTTTTGAACAGGATGTAAGTCAGGATCTGGCTGGCCCTTCCTGCTTGTTGCTGACAAGAGCATGCTCTGGGTTTTGAACAGGCTGTAAGTCAGGATCTGGCTGGCCCTTCCTGCTTGTTGCTGACAAGAGCATGCTCTGGGTTTTGAACAGTATGTAAGTCAGGATCTGGCTGGCCCTTCCTGCTTGTTGCTGACAAGAGCATGCTCTGGGTTTTGAACAGGCTGTAAGTCAGGATCTGGCTGGCCCTTCCTGCTTGTTGCTGACAAGAGCATGCTCTGGGTTTTGAACAGGCTGTAAGTCAGGATCTGGCTGGCCCTTCCTGCTTGTTGCTGACAAGAGCATGCTCTGGGTTTTGAACAGTATGTAAGTCAGGATCTGGCTGGGCCTTCCTGCTTGTTGCTGACAAGAGCATGCTCTGGGTTTTGAACAGGATGTAAGTCAGGATCTGGCTGGCCCTTCCTGCTTGTTGCTGACAAGAGCATGCTCTTGGTTTTGAACAGTATGTAAGTCAGGATCTGGCTGGCCCTTCCTGCTTGTTGCTGACAAGAGCATGCTCTGGGTTTTGAACAGGATGTAAGTCAGGATCTGGCTGGGCCTTCCTGCTTGTTGCTGACAAGAGCATGCTCTGGGTTTTGAACAGGATGTAAGTCAGGATCTGGCTGGCCCTTCCTGCTTGTTGCTGACAAGAGCATGCTCTTGGTTTTGAACAGTATGTAAGTCAGAGGATCTGGCTGGCCCTTCCTGCTTGTTGCTGACAAGAGCATGCTCTTGGTTTTAAACAGCGAGTAAGTCAGGATCTGGCAGGATCTGGCTGGCCCTTCCTGCTTGTTGCTGACAAGATCATGCTCTGGGTTTTGAACAGTATGTAAGTCAGGATCTGGCTGGCCCTTCCTGCTTGTTGCTGACAAGAGCATGCTCTTGGTTTTGAACAGTATGTAAGTCAGAGGATCTGGCTGGCCCTTCCTGCTTGTTGCTGACAAGAGCATGCTCTTGGTTTTAAACAGCAAGTAAGTCAGGATATGGCTGGCTCTTCTTGCTTGTTGCTGACCAGAGCATGCCATGGGTTTTGAACAGGATGTAAGTCACCATCTGACTGTTCTTCTCTACTTGTTGTTGATAAGAGGGTGGCCTGTGTTTTAAATAGAAGGTAGGTCTCAGCTTTCTTCTCTTTTCATTTTGCTAAGAAATGATGAGATTGTCAGTTCAGTTCTACAATTTTAGAAAAACACTTATGAAACTCCACTTGTTCAAATAGACAGTCAGTATTTTATTGTTTCTTCCAATATTTTTATAAAAACCAGTAGTATTGACTGAACCAATTACTATTTTTAGGCAAAGGATGTCCTCGATCATACAGACTGGTCCTTGGTAAACCTTCACTAGCTTCACTGTGTAAATGCTATTCATTATTCTGACCACCACATAATTCTATCCAGATTCACAATACCAAATCCTTCAAGGACATTGCCTTTCTATGTATTGGTGTGTCTACTCTTATTTATGACCACTCTATCATAACTATTATTTTACTGCTCAGTGACTGCTATCATTGCAGAGCACTCTTTCTTTCTGTGGAAACAGAATCCTTCAAGGTCCACTGCCCCCTTTGAATCAGCCATGCAAAAGTTCAACTTGTCTGCTGATGTGGCAAAAATTAAAATTGCCATCAAGGAGGCCTCTCAGCTTAAAACTGAGGACCAAAAGAAACAGGCCCTTGTAAAGATTGCTATGGCCAATTGTCTTCGTGAGTATCAATATTCCAAGTCTTTCAAGGTCTTCTCATTTATTTGATTTTAGCTTTATAAAAGTTTCAGCCCACCTTGCCAGAATTTCATAAATGCAGCACATGTCTCTAGTTACCACCCATTATGATGCACCTTTTGCCTTGTTGTTCCCAAAAAAATAGATTGTGTCATTTGAGTAAAAGAAAGTCAAGGATGGTAATTTCTTTTAAAGCCCACAAGCTTTTCATGTTCTCAAGCTTCCACAGCTTGAGGGTGCCCTTGAGTTGTCTTCACAGTGTATGTGTATGGGAGTTCAAAGAGTTGTTAGAGGGGGGTGAGATGATACATGATTTACATATTCTCTAAAGTCTGTCAGAAAAACACAAAAGATACAGATACATATTCCACATTGCAATGTATTCACAAAGAAAGAGGAGTTCTAAGTACCAACAGTGGTAAAAAAAATACAGGTACAAGAAACGACGGCTAGCAATGAGGGAGGACTGGGGAGGTACAGATGAAGGGAGAGTGGCATCAAACTCAAAAAGACGTAGTCAAGTCGACCTCAATAGTCGGCACGATGCTTGCAATAAACTTGAGGAAAACAACCAGATAGAAATTGACCCTCATCCCCTCCACCTCCTCTTCCTCAGCCCCAGCTTGAAGCTGTTGAACATCCTTGGCACTCCCAGACGACTTTCGGCTGAATGGCCACTTCTTCTCTTTCTTCGGGGTGTCCTTCCCTGAGGGTTTACCACGCTGCGCAAGCTGTTCCTCGACGACACTGTTGTTCATCCTTTCTATTACCTTCTTCATGACGCTGGCATGTCTGCATGGATGCATGGAGGCGGCTTGGAGAGAGGCGGAGTGGATGAATGGTTCAATCGTTACTGTTTTCTGGGCATGGTCTGCTGAGATGTCTTGGAAGATTTGGGAGGGGGTGGGGTGCAGTTCTATTGTTTCCGTTAGCTAGCGTATTAGAAAAATGGGCAAAAGGTGAACCTCATCGTAGCCGATCAACCAAACGTGTGGGGTCTGATAATACTTGTCGTATGTGGTCATTACATTGTACGTGTGGACCTGAAGCAGATTCCCCTTTGCGACTTCCACATTGGCATTACAAAGATATTGTCAGCATTCTTTCAATTTCCAGCATACCCAATGACAAAACATACCTAGCATCAACCCCGGCAGCAGCAGGTATAACCGAGGCCTTGGGCGCAGCCATAGCCATAGCCTCATCATCCCCCTCCTCCAAATCATCCTCCTCCATATCAGGGATATCATCCAAATCAGGCATCTCTGCCCCAACACCCTCACCCCCTCCCCCGCCCAACGACACGCCTCACAATCCTCTCCTCATCCCCATGCGGCCCATCCCCATCCAAATCAGGGATATCTGCAATCTCACCTGCGTTCGTCGCAGAGTCCGTTCGATGCGCCTGCCGACCTGTGTGTGTCTCGACCCAGTCGTCACCGTCTGTGGAGGGGGAAGAGGAATCAGCAAAGGAGAGGAGGCACTCAGTGTCCTCATCTGCGTCTGTGTAGGCTAGGGAGGTGGCGCGCCAGAGGCAGGGGATACCACATGTTACTAGGTATTGTTTGTCTTGTGGGAGGAAGTCATGGGATTTGGATGTGTCTCCTTTTTCCCTGTTGCCCACTTAGTTTTCGCGAAGAGAGAAGAGGAGGAAGGAAGGAAGGAAGAAGGGGCTTACCATGTCCATACGGGGAACTTGTACACCAAAAAGTCACCTGCAGCGATGAATTCCTCTGTTTCTCACGGTGAGCACAAGGAGCGTGATAGACGATCGTGAACATACTGGGTGTAATACGGCCGTGTTCTTTGGATTTGTTCTCTTTGAGAACCTAATAGGTGGGTGTGATGGGTGCAGTGTTGTACAGGTCAGCCTGACTTGAGGTCAGAGACGTCACGTTACCGGGGCCACATCAACTGACTTGACGAGGTCAAGGGTCATGATGGGGGGTCAGACCTTTTTTGGAAAGAGTATTAAGGCTCATGCCCATGTTTTTTTTTGTTGTTTTCTTTTTTTTTTTTTTTTTTTTTTTTACACTCATGTTTGAACATTCTGCATACACAAGTTCTCACAGAACCCTTGACTGATCATGACCCTGTCAATCAAAGTCAGGTCACTTGATGCCGGGTCAGGGTCTGACCTCGTCAGACCCGGGTCATGACAACACTGGATGGGTGACAGTGAGATGATGCCAGATCGCGAATGATGGGGCTCACTGGGCTTAGGTACTACTCATGCAGAGCACATAGGCTGGACTGGATTGGTGGCTAGCAATGAAGCTGAAGGAGGACTGGGGGGACAGAGTCATTGAGAAGGGAGTTGGCATCAACTTGACAAGATGTCATTGAATGTTCGCAATGAACTTGCGGAAAACGACCAAATAAAAATCAATCATTCACCATCCTCTCAGTTCCTCTTCCCTCTAACTTGCCGTTGTTGAATGTCCTTGGCACTCCCAACAATTTCCTGCTGAATGCCCACTTCGTCTCTTTCTTAGGGATGTCCTTGCCCCTTCAACTAGTTGGAGAAGAGGGTTTGCCATGTTGTGCAAGCTATTCTCGACGACGCCACCATTCAACCTTTCTTTTGCTTTCTCCATGATGCTGGCATGCTTGCATTCTTCAACGTTACAAGAAAAACAGTCTTACAAATGCACGAATCTCATTTCCATCCCGTGTCCTCGGGACTCCAATAGTCCTCTCAACAATGAACTCCTCTCCTGCATGTACCAAAGAATTTCCAAAGAGCTTGCTCCTCCTGAAATCAATGAGCCTGAAATTGAACACCCTGTCTCGAGGATTAGGTGCCATCTGGTTGGCCATGTGGAACAGGGGGAATTCAGTCAAAGGACCTGGCTGGAAGAGAATGTTGCGAGGCGCGACAGAGTGGTGGACCGACCCTGCGTGATGGAACCGAAAAATTAATGATGTGCATTCGTGTCTAAAACTAATGAATCTGGTGAGTGATAATGAGATGTTGGATTGGTAGGGCTTACTTATCATTGATATTAAGTGTGTCAATGTCGATTAGACTTCCACAATTCTCCATGAGAATGATCGGGCTACGATAATGGAGCTCCTCCCCACCACCGACATCACCCATGTCAGACTGACCAACATCATCAACCGCCGCCACCCTCTTCTCCTTCCTCACCGGGATATCCTTATCAGGAACATGATGCCCATAATACTGAGGCACAAGTGCACCCACAGGTACCGGCTCATGCAACGGCGAGACAATGTTATACCCATTCCAATGCTGGAAAAAGTGATCAGGAAACACCTGGTATTTAAGTGACTCTCTGTCCAGGTGATCGTCACCCTGCATGGACAGTTTCGCCGTGACACGGACGGTGGCACAAAGGGTGTTTGAACCTATCCTGTTCCGAGAGGTGGACGCAGCTCCCACCTCGCTCGAGATTCTGGTACCCAACTGTGGTGCGGATGATGCAGATGGGACCTACATAGACAAGTCTGTTGAGCTCTCTGCGCTCCCTCAATATGTTGATGTTTGGTTCTTGGTGAGTGGTCGTCACAAATTCAGGCCGGATGTATTCCTTGAGGATGACTTCCCTGCGTTTAGTGGTCCATTTTGGGTCTGCCCCTTCTGCGTCGTCTTCAGCAGTGATAATTTTCTGTTCTTCGTCGATGACGCATTGTCTGCAGAGGACATCTGGGACGAGGAGGTCGCGTGGGATGTCCCACTCTGTGTGATAAGCGAAAGAGTGATTCCCTTTGCCCACCAGGTGGGAAGGCGAGAGGTGCAGATGGGCTTCTTCGGCAGAACTGGGAAGAGAGGAAGGCTCGTGCATTGCGTATACCCAGGGTTCGGTTGATCCAGGGATGAGGCCGTCCATAGAGTGCTAATGCCGAAGAATGTTCTTCAGGCTTAGCACCCTTCCGAAGAGCTTCCTCGACCTCATGGTCTGAGATCAGTTTCTCTTGTTCCTTTTCCATCTTCTCTCTGCCAGCGGGAGAGGCGTTGTGGCTATAGGCATGGACTATGTCGGGTTTTGAAGACCATGGTTGAGGATGGTGTTCCTCAAAGCAGCCATCTCGAACTTGAAGCAAATGGAACTGGTCATGAACATAGAGAGTCGTTGGCAGAAGGTGTAGTGGAAGACGTTGTTGAAGAATCGGCAAAGAATTGAAGGTCACATCGAACGGCTCCTAGAACGAAAGAAAAAGGTCAGACAAGATGTGGAAAATGCAGAAAGAAAATACCAACAGGATGAATAAATCCCTCCTTTTTTCTTTCCCCCTCAGACTCGCTCAACGTCTTCGAGATCCTCATTTCAACATCCTCAACAAGCTTCACAATATCACAAGGGAAGCTCTCTTTCAGATCTTCCTCCTCCTCCGCAAGCTGCAACTCCTCCTTTGCGTAATCCTCTCTGCTTGCTTTCATCCACTTACTCCCGGTCGACTTCGACTGCAACCCACCAAAATCGTGCATACGTCGGACATGGTAGAAATCAAACAGTGTTGCACCCCAGTGGAGGTCTTATCAGTGCCCCCCTAATTCCTGCAGGAATCCGGTCATTCCTGCGGATTCCGGTGGATTCCGGAGGAATGAAATTTGGCAGGGAGGCCTGCTATTTTTTGTCATTCCGGTGCCTTACCATTCCGGCGGAATTTGGGCATTCCGGAATTGACACCGGAATGTTCCGCAGGACTGACAGGAACGGAATGGAACGGAATCCGGTCCTTTGTTTGTTTATTTTACTTCTGTTACCAAACAACGGCAACGTTACCAAACAAATGCAATACCCTTTCCTTTCCACCCACCACCAACCACATTGACAACAGCGACAACGACGACAACGCCACACGACCAACAACGGCCACGACCACCCCAGCAACAAACGGCGACGACCACGGCCAGCGACGTGGCAACGAAACGGACAACGACAACGACAACGACGTGGCGCCAGCACCATCCACGAGCGCCGACCACCATCCACGAGCACCTCCATCAACCAACGGCGACCAGCGCCCACCACTATCCACGAGCGCCCACCACGCGAACGCCGCGATGCCACGTCACCAACCAAACGAGGCCCCACGGCACCAACGATGGCTCCAACCACGACCACCACACCAGCCAGCCACGAACAACACACCACGCACCCACCAGCACCCTCAAACAACGCCGACCAGCGCCCACTGCCACCCAGGAGTGCCCACCACCACCACGATCAACAAACGGCGAGCAGCACCCCACCAATGACCACGACCACGACAACGACAACGTCCACGTCCAAACGACGACACGCGACGACGACAACGCGACGATGACAAAACAACGACGACAACGCGACGACGACAACGCGACGACGACAAAACGACGACGACAACGATGGACGACGAGGCCCAGCACCACCCCCTCCCCCTTTATCAGTCCCCACCACTCTCTCCCCCCTCCTTCAGTCCCCCTCCCACCACTCCCTCCCCAGGGCCTGCCCCACACCATTGCCTGTCCCTCCTCCCTCCCTTCCTCCCCCTTTCTTATGCTGATCCCAGCCCCACACCACTCCCTGTCCCTCACTTCCTTCCTTCCTTCCTCCCCCCTTCCTCCTCCCTTCCTTCCTCCCCCCCTTTCTTCCTGCCCCTTCATTTAACTTAGAAAATAGTAAATTAGATGTATATTTGAATTTTAATATATAAATTTTTTAAGAAAGTGTTGATATCCTTTAAGTCAGTGTGAAGAAGTGTATATTAGTGTAAATGTATCTAGCACAAAGAGAAGGTGTTGTATCTGTTGTATTCTGGTCCCATTCCTGTGGATTCCTGAGGAATCCTGAGGAATCCTGAGGACTCCTGAGGAATCCTGTCCCATTCCTGAGGAATCCTGTCCCATTCCTGAGGACTCCTGAGGAATCCTGTCCCATTCCTGAGGATTCCTGAGGATTCCTGTGGATTCCTGTGGATTCCTGCAGGAATGGGTGGGGCACTGTAAAGTACTGGTTTCGTGGATGCTGGGGAGTTTTCGGGGGCGGGGTGTGACGTGTCGTGGTCATGGGTGATAGAAAAGTGACATGGGTGGTGGTGGCTAGGGGTGATGGTGGCTAGGGGTGACGGTGATGGCGTGGCGTTGGTGGCGGTGATGAGCATGGTGGTAGTGGTGGAAGAAGAGGGTGGCCGTGTTTGGTGAGCAGTGTTTGCCAAACAAGCCTTATTTGTTATCCATTGAAAATAAATAAACTATAATACATAACAAAACAATAAAATAACCAGATTACAGTTCCTGCACATTCCGGGGAATGCTATTCCTGCCCATTCCGGGGACCATTCCGGTGTAAATTCCGGAATGATCAGATTCCACCGGAATGAGAAAACACAGGAATGACAAATTTAGCAGTGTTTACTGCTAAATTTCATTCCACCGGAATGACCGGAATCCTGCAGGAATAGGGGGGGCACTGATAAGACCTCCCAAAAATGTCTAATAACAGGTCTTGAATCATACACCTGGACGCGCAGCTCACATATTCCCTCGCACTCATCTTTCCGAAGCCATCATCTCACCCCCGCCTTCCCCAACATAACTGCTCTGAACTCAAAGTGGCTTCAAAAAAGATTCTATGAGCACATCACTGATCCCGGCGCACCCTCACTTGAAGCTCAAGTTGACCAACTCTAGGGAACTCTGGAATTTTAGGACGGCTACCGAATCACCACATTTGTCCATGACTTGGGCAATATCCATGGCTCATTCCTACACCTGGAACATATCTCAGATCCGCACATACAACCACTTGATATTCTATTCAGGGATCATTTCTTCCAATGTGTGTTGAGGAACATGAAGGGTGCAGGGGAGCCAACATGGGACTACGAAGATGCCTTGGGTGATGGCGGGTTTGACTTGTGAGGGAAGATATTTGGGGAGATGCTGAAGGCAAAGGAAGGCTCGAGGTAGAGCTTTCTGACGGACTCTTTGGACACCAGTAGTTACTAGTGTAAGGGACAGACAGTGAACGTATCCTCATACAGTACTAGTAACTTCGAGGATATACATCAAAGGTGCACCCCCCCTCTCTCTGTCAAATTTGTCAAAGATCTAGAGAGTGTGTCATTATTGCAGGATATAGTATCAGCTAAGTAGTCAAACCCCACATTCAAGTTGACGTCAAAGAATCCAAAGAGGGAACAATATTCGTCAAACGAACATGCTCTGCATAGACGTCCGTCCCTCTCGTTCGTGTCTGCCTGCGGAGATCAGGCTTGAGAAGCACAACAAAACAGTGATTCCCAATTCTGAAAGAGTATGTGCGTATTGCGTGTAGTAGAGGTTGTGTCCCAAGTCCAACCTTTTTGAATCTCAACTTCCCTTCATGTCATTCAAGCCCATGGAAACCCTGGCATTCCTCCTCACTGGAAACCTGAAATCAAGCACAACACCCTCAGCCACACGCTGCGCCCACCCAGCATCGAGCATGTTGATTATAACAGTGGAGGAAGGACTTTGCACGGCAACCACAGGATAGTGCTTCAACGTGTTCTGGTTACACCGGCATACTGGTTGTGTATGAGCAATTGTGGCCTGTGAGTAGGCCTTAAGCAGGACTTGGTCATCACACGCATCTGAGGGTGGGCATCTTAGATTGTAAAAAGGAAGCTCAAAATTCGACGGACGTACCTTTGTCATGAAGTTCTATGTTTGTAGTTGCAACTCCAGGCCATGTTAGATGAGGAGTGGAAAGGAGGAATCATGAGTGCCGTAATTGTTCCGTATGCTTGTTGATTGAGTTGTCTAGGACGTTCACCTGTTCACTACCACCATAGGTCCAAACATTGCCTTCTTCGCCGTGAAATGTACGGTATTGTGCATGCACGCTGATCAAGGTGTTGAGAGGAAAGGGGCGAGCAGGATCTTGATCTTCTGGCATACTTGAGTCATTCTCCTTTCTTTCATTATTTTTCTTCCACCTTCACGACTAAACCAGATTGTAAGTCCATTTTACAGCATTCATAATCAATAATATCTCACACTTGCAGACCAAATGGATGTCGAGCCATCGAATGGCTTAGCCATCCAAATCAATGTGATTCTCAGCTTGAGCTCTGATGGCAATTGGGGAAAAGATTTTCCTTACACCCCAGAAGAATCCAAGAAACTAAAAGAGCAAGTTTTCAGCTGCAAACGACCCCGTAAATCCAGACAAGATTCCCTTGATCGTCTCACTCTCCTGCACACCCAGTCCGAAAAGATCGCCTCCATCGTCACCAGGCACCAACCACTCGACGCCGATTCATTTTTTCCACCTGGCCTCGCGACCCAAAGGGAAAGCCACTTTTGTCTGAAAACAGCACACTAGGGAAGATGGTAGCCAATGAGGTACAGCACTGGGGCAGTACTTTACAGTGCCCCACCCATTCCTGCAGGAATCCACAGGAATCCACAGGAATCCTCAGGAATCCTCAGGAATGGGACAGGATTCCTCAGGAGTCCTCAGGAATGGGACAGGATTCCTCAGGAATGGGACAGGATTCCTCAGGAATGGGACAGGATTCCTCAGGAATGGGACAGGATTCCTCAGGAGTCCTCAGGATTCCTCAGGATTCCTCAGGAATCCACAGGAATGGGACCAGAATACAACAGATACAACACCTTC